TCATTTATATTTTTTACAAGTACTTTTTTAATCAAAATCTCAAGCTCAAATATGGGATTAATAACCATTCATAATTTGCTATTAATGACAAAACTTTTTTTCTGAAGTAGTTTTATCCTGTCATCCCAAATTTTGAACTTTTTTCACAGCGCTGGTTACCAATCTCCATGTTGTCTAATTTTGAGCAAAGCAAAAAACCTGAAAGTGATCCAGAAAAAAGCAGAACCTATTTATAATTGCCAAAATAATAAAAACGAAAAACAAAAAAAAACTATTTTTTCAAAATATTTAGAATTATTGCCAAAAAATCTTTAGTGTTTGTTCAATAGGAAATGACTTACAGCAGACTAAAATATGCTTTACTACAAAAATAAAAGATGAATCACTCATTTGCTGTACAATTATTATGCTATTCATCGAATGTTAGTAGTGTATCCTGTTTATGAAGACTCGCCAAACTTGATTTTAAAAAGTAATAATTTTCATTTTTTTCTTTTTGAAACCATTTATTTTAAAATCCAATTTAGGTCTAAAGAGCTTCAGAACAAATCCATTGAACAACAGTTTTACCCTGGTCCATAATTCATTCGGGTGAAATACGTAAAAGGGTTGGAAATCGATAGTTCAAAAAATTGGGATTATTAAAGCATCTCAGAGGCTGACTAAAAGGGTTATTCCGGCTAAAACCTCCTCTCCTCTCTTTTCACCTCAAATGATAAAATAATTAGGAACTCGATTACACTTTACCCACGATTCCCGATACACACACGTTTAAAAATCTGTTTTTTGTTGAATACTTACGATATTCTGACGTAATGACAGTTTGCCTAACGAACAAACTAAATTGCGACTCACAAATATATTGCGCACTCAGCACTGCACTTGTCAATCTACTATTCTGTCACCATCCTCAACTGCACCAGCCAACTGCACCTCCTGTTGCCCTGCAAACACCCTATTTTATCTGCAACCACCAGAATTTGAAGAACCTGGTCACACAATTTCTGCAGAAGATGCCATGATAAAAAACTTTGTGATTACTAATGATTTAAAATTATTTACTGATCCCACGTCCAGTTTCCAGCATTAACAAGCAATTAGATTATGATCCTTGAACCAGTTTTACTAAAACTGAGAAAAAATTGATTTTAATTAATTAATAATCGATTATCATTTTTCTTTTTGAAGTCAAATGATAATCAATAGTGATGATTTTAATAGACTATAATCAGTTATTGTTCGTAACTCTTTTGTTACACTTGTAATTATTATAATTGATTACAAACGCTTTTTTTATCCCAATTTTTAATTCACATGTTTTGCACAAACAATCCATTATAACCGATCATAATCGTATATAATCCTTTTATTTTGCACATATTATCTTCGACCTTGCATCTGAATTGATTATATTTTATGCTTTCGTACACCGTGGTTTATTTTAAAAACCGAAAAGTTGCGTGATAAGTTTTCAAAACAATTCAAGGTTATGACGTTTTAATTTTTTCATTTCTCCTCTATTAGAATCGTTTCATGATGCACATTTTTTAACCCCCAAAAAATTAGCAGTTTGCTTGAGTTCCTTAATTTAGTTGGAAAATTCTTTTTCACCTACCGCGGGACCCTTTCAACTAATGTGAAGGGATCTCTATAAAAGTTTTGTTTCGTGTTTGATAAAATATATCAATTTTAGAGCTTTCGTTATTGACAGAAAAATGATTTCCTATAAGAGTCTTAAAATTTTTGGTGTGACACAGTTTTGGCAAAATAAGAAATCATAATCAAAATTATAATCAATTGTAACTGATTTAAGGAGTTTTTTGTATGAGCTATAACCAGTTAAAGACGAAGTTAAAAGAGTATAATCTCTTGGAAATTCGTACGATTATAATCAGTTATAAATCTTTTAAACACCTAATTTTGGCAATTATAATCAATTTCAATTGCCAACAATTCGACATAATCCGTTAATTTCAGTTTTTACGCTTAAACTTGGATGTGGGATTATTAGTAATTATAATTTATTATTTTGGCAAATACTTGTTTGAGGAAAATAAGGAATTAAAATCCCTTCTAATTGATTATAAGAGATTTTAACCTTCAAAAAATGACGATTATATGTGATAATAAAATCTCGTAAGGGCCTAAATTTATTAATTATAATTAATTCAGGTTGTCACAAAAATTTCAAAGAAGTCGCTTATAATCGAGTACTTAAGCCTCTACTTGGATGCGGGCATGACTTGCATCTGATCACTACACATTTAGCCAAAGTGTCAAGCGTAACATAACTACGAAAACAAAAAATGGAAGGGGGTGAAAGTGAAAAAAGCCGCAATTCAAACGAAAATAGCCTCTAATGTTCCGTTTCTTCATGATTTCTCATTGTCACAGATTTTCGGAAATATAGACCGTATGAGTTTCACAGTGTCGTTTATTTTGCTTTTTTTGCAAATTTTCGGGTTCTTTTCAATTTTCTGGTTACCTGAAGTAGTTGCAGAGTAATCATCACTTATGAATATTTTTTTTCAATTCTTTATAAAGTAAAAATAAGACCGGAACAAAAACCCAAATTGACCCGATTTTGGTGAGTAACATTTATTTAGAGATCTCACCGTCGTCCAAAGTTCTGTCATAAGTATTCGTTTAGAATGTCAACTTTTGCTCAATTCAAAAATTAACACTGTCAAATTTAAATTATCTTTGAGAACTTCAAAATATCAGTGGCGTGCGCAGAATTTCTAGGGCAAAACTAGGATTATACTTTCCGAACTTTTTCTCAATTTGATTTTACCAGCTCGCTATATTCAATAAAGGCCCTATTTTTCCAAATAAGAAAATGTGCTGCATACCATCTTTTGATCAAAATAGGTCCAAAATGACGTTTTTTTGGCACTTTTCAAAAAAACTTGAGCAAAAGATTGTCTTTTTTGGTACACGCGTACCCTTCTCAAATCCAGTTATATTCATATTGAAGGCGCTCTTAAAAAGATTGAGAGGTTGGACAACCAAAAAGGCTGCAGTAAAATAACATCCAGTAAGGGACACTTCGGAAAACTTTGGCAACCAGAGTTGAAGGGGAAGGGAAATGGCACGCTACTGCTGAAATTGCAGCAAAAATAGTATCGTTTCTGAACTATTGGCTTCTTCGATCTTGCTTAGACACAAAAAATGTCAACACCAAAAACATTTGTAATCTGTGTTGTATTTTGGGGTTTTTTGTTTATATCTTCGAGCTATTGCCAGAATGGGCGCTATTGTGTCAACTAACCCCCTCCCCCCAATACAAAATGGAAATATTATTTCAAGGTACTATATTAAAATTCATATATGCCTAACCATTGAATAATTTTCGCCGGTTTGAAGTTCTAGGTACCATTTGGGAGGGGTCGGGGAATTGTCGGCAAGATTCTCATGTCTTAACATAATTTAACTGACTTTTTCTAAACTTCAAGTGAAAATTGGTCAAGTTTCTGAGAGAATTCGAATTGGGTTCTTTAAGGAGAAGAAGAAGAAGAAGCAAGCAGCAGGCGTGAACGACAATTGGTTGGTGATAAATGGGCCCATAATGTTATCAGGTCTGGCGATGTCAACTGAACAATGCTTACAATCACACACAGTCAATTAGCTTCTCACTCTAAAAGGCAGAGCCAGTCGCTAATCTCCCAAACTTATCACCCCTCAATTATATTTATATCGCAACCCCCATATCACTGAAAATCATCACTCGCTCTTTCATATATCTCCAATGGAATGCCTTCCTTTCTTTCCTCTTTTTAAAACTGTGGATCGATTTTGGCGACTGTTTAAGTGAGGGTTGTCAACGCACCAATTCAATGTAAGAATTGAAGAGTCTTTAATTTAAGATAAGATCAGAGTTAAAGTCACAAATATTCGCTTTTTGGACTAAAATTGATGGATTACTTTCAAATAAAGTGTTATAATTCATTTAAATAATTGTCAATTTCAATAAAATATTTTAGTTTCTGCTTCAAGTATTTAACTTTCATTTTAAAGTTATATTCAGTGTTTAATCATGTTTTGATCTGTTTTGGCAACAAATTTGATTTTGGCCTGTTGCGGAATCCGCTTACAATGCAGAGAATGCACAGTTCGGCCTCGTAATGTTGTGATTAGGTTTTTTTGTGAATCTGTCTATTTCCGCCAAATTAGACTTTTGACCGATTTTTAGTGTTTTTAACAAACAAAAGTTGCAGTTGTATTTGAAATTTCATTCAAAATTTTAATTGAAATTCTGATTTGAGAACACGCCTTAAATCTGTGATCATGAAATTATATCAATGTCCACTTCACGATTTGTATGGATTATGTACGCGTTTATCTGCAACACTGAATGTGCTTTTGTGAATTAAGAGTCCATTAAAAAAGTGGGTAGGGTTCTTTTCGGGCGCGGCCGGTAGACTCGCGAGGGCGTTATCGAACTGCAACTGTGCTTCAAAGGTATTTTTAACTTTGCCCAATTGAAAAAATTGATTAGAGGGTATCAACTAAAAGTATTATACTTGATAAGGCGAACTGCAGCCATGCCCAGAGCTACTTTCTCTCGCGGCAAAACGATTATCTAGCCGGGACAAATTAACAATCGGCAAGGAGCAATTAAATCAAACCTCGCAAGGATTCCCAAAATGGCTGGAATGCTTATGGAAAATCGATTTCGGGATTACACTGATGGTAAAATAATGGAACGAAAGATAGGGTATCGCTTGGATAGTTCTGTCTTCTTAAGAAAATACTCCTCACATCTTGAAATCGAGAGTGATAAAGTCATTGCTTGCAGTCAAATCAAGTGGAAATGTAATCAATGGGAAGAGTTGAAAATAAGTAGTACTAGAATTAATTCGAGTTATCTGTACAAAGTCAAGAGGTGAAAAATATCTCTATACAAATTGAGGAGCATAATAATATTTTGAAAGCTAAATAAATTGCATACAATCATAAGTGGGAATTCGAATAGCAAAAAATGTTGCAGCAATACAGAGTATCATATACAATAAGTCAAAAGGAAAGAGTTTAGATGTCCAAATATACCCATAGAGAGGAGAGGAGCACTTTATGCGCCATATGCAGGCAGAGCTGTACTTGTACATGAGTAATTGACATATTACAGTCCAAACAACCCAAAATCACTAAGCCTCTGAAAGAAAAATTAGTTCGGCTCCATTAACAGTCGTCTATCTGAACTTTGAGTTCTGGGTCATTGTCCTGGTGTTCTGCTGTTGCAATCTCCTGGTAATCGAGATCATTTGGACCAGAAGACATCTCAAATACACCGCTAGAGGTCGGCACATCTAACATGGCTGACGGCGAAATGTTTGAAACGTTCGAATCATTCGCCTCATTGGAAAATGAACTCTCGTCGTCTATCGTAATAGTGCAGGGGTTCAAAATAAGACTCTGAATGATCTGCGACGGTGACTTCATATGAGTGGCGTCCACACTTGCGAGGAAGTTTGGGTCGTTTAGAGAGATGGGGAAGAAGGTGTTGGTGACTGCTTGGATGGGGAGGGACTTGAGGTTTGAGAGGGAGAGAAGGAGCCTTCCGAATCGGGCAGTGACTCCCGGGTACTCGGTGCAGACGTGTTGCTGCAGATACATCTGACACTGATCTTGGATGGCTACTACTTGGGAACTGTTTCCCAGTTTAGTTCTCGTGTCTGAAAACAAAAAAGTTTCATCTTTATTAAAAGCCCACTTGTTTTTGCGAAGCTCAAAACCAACTATTCAGCCTCAGATCTGGGCCAAATAATGAAAATTTTTCAAATCAGCTGAGTTAAAACGCTGTAACGAGACTCTCAACAAATCCTAGCTAATTCACCATGTCTATTTTTTATGCATGGCAAAAAAATAAAAAACTTAAAAAAACTCTACATAGAAACATAGCCAATCGAAGATTGAAAAAGAGTGAAGAACGCAAGTAAATATTAAAAAAACAACACTTTCTTGAAAAAAATCTCAATTTTGAATTACAAAGAAAAAACTAGAAGATAAAAACTACAAAGAAAAAAATTATTAAGCTCTTTTAATTTCTAGAACAATTTATGACTGGCGCTTTCTTGATAATAAGAATTTACTAGAGAAAATTGGATCAATAGGTAAAACTTTTATTCCGCTGGAAATCTGAAAATGAAAATCCACTTTCGAAACAAGAAATCTTTCATGTTTTTGGCACCATTTCCCCCTTTTGTAATTGGAGAGCGCTATTTACGACTTTCAGCAGATCAATTGAACTCAAAAAGTGCAGATATATCTAAAAGTTTTCATAAAAGCATCAAAATGCATGAATGCACATCTGTAGTCTATGAAGAATTTTCGTGAAAGAAAAACAAAAAGAGTAAGACCTATTTAAGAGTATTCACTACGTTCATTACTTTTAAGAACATTGACAAAGGCTCGAAAAAATGTTTCGAGCAGTGTTTTTTTTGAAAAAAAAATTAATTTGAGAGTTCAAAGGATTAAAAAATTATACCCTTTTTTGATGAATCAAACCAGTTTGAGACAAGTAAATTAGACAATTTTTTTGCATTCCACCGAGAATTCTGAATCTTCGCCTAATTTTTTGTAAACAAAATTCATTCACTTTTTGCGCCATTTCATTTTCGTAGTAGGAGACGGTAATTCGAGTTTTTTATTGAATGGATTTGAACGGAGCTTAATTTGAAACAGGGGCGAATCTAGGAGTGGATTTTCCAAAAAAAAAAAATCAAAAATTTGTCTACTTTTTTTAAGTCAACCAAATTGATTTTCGGAGCTCTGGCAAATCACTATAAAAACTTTATTTTGATCAAATTTTCTACGCCGCAAGCGAAAATTTGAAAAAAAAAATTAGGATAAAAAAGGCCTTTTGGTCACTTTTTGGAAAATTGAGACCAAAAAATTGCCTTTTTCGGCGCGCTCTACTTCCTCAACAATTTTTTTACAAATTGTTTCAAAAAACCTGGAAAACTCTAAGGTAGATTTTCAAAAAAAGCGTGAATGTTAAAAAAAGAAAAAGCCAAAGTTTCGATTTATTGAAAAACAAGCAAAGTTTTTTCTAAAATTGGAAGTTTTTTCAGCGTTTTTTTTCTGATATGGTTGTTCAAAAAATGCAACTTCCATGTCCACAGATTGCCCATCTTTTGGTTTGTATCATTTTAACAATTTGGATTATTGGTAAGGTCATTTAAACTCAACTTACGCCGATTAAGTAGCACAAAACTATTGAATGGCCAAAAATTTGAATGGCCAAAAATTGTTGCTTTATGTTTTGATGTTTGCCGAAGTCCGATTTACGTAAGTTTTCTTTTCCTTTTGGATTAAAACGGTGTTAAAATACAGAAATCGCTTTAAAATTTAGTGTTTTTAAATTGCTTAGGCAACAAAAAGTAGGGATTGAAATTGTATGGTGTTAAGTTGTTTAGAGTTAAAAAAATGGAAACTACTGAATCCCGATGTCTTTATCACTTTTATTGACACTTATTCAAAGTCAACAGACAGTTCAAAAAAAGTAGATGGACGCAAGGAAACAGGATTTTTTTTGGAATAAATCATATAACGAATCCAACTAATTTTAAGTCTTTTTAATTTTCAAAAAAAGTGTAGTGTTGAAAGTTTATTGATGAAAACAACCCAACAACCCAATTTGGGAAAACTAGATTGATAGTAGTAAGTTTGTATTCAGCTTAAAAATCTGAAAGTTAAAATCTTGTTCGAAACTAGAAGTCCATCACCTTTTTCATCACCACCTGTATAAGAGTTTTTATTAAAATCTTTGAGTATTGAAAAGAAGTTTTTCCCCCTTATCACAAAAAAACTTATCTTCGTATTGGGCTCTTTTGTGTGTAATTAAGGCTGACCTGAGTCGAATAATAGGATGGTCTCCATGAGTGATAGTTCTGTGGGGTCCGGGGACAGCTCCTTCACCCTCTTCTGGTACTCCGTCATCGTGTCCACCTGCTTTGACAGATCACTCTTGCACCTCACAACCTGCAGCAAACAAAACATTTGCATATAAATTCAAAAGGTGAATCCAAAAGGTCGTAAATTCCACACCAACTTTTACAAAAGAACGAAACTTTTGAAGACTTTTAAGAAACGCTTTTTAGTTTCTGTATTTGATGAACAATCAAATCAAGTAGAAATAAGTTCTACTTTTTGAAATACAAATATGCACCAGAAAAGAAGTTGACCGGAAAGTTACAATGATTTATTTGCATTTTGAATATTTAAAAAATCGAAATCAGATTGACAACTAACCATGCCGAAAATGGATTCGCAGTATTGTGCTGCAAAAGTAGCGTGTAACAAAAATATGGGCGCCCAGTTTTCCGAGAAAAGTATCAGCTGATCGCTGATCGGCATGCCTCGGAATGCTTGAATACTCGTCGCCCTCTTGATTATTTTCACCAAAATTGTCTCTGAGTTCGACAAAAGTGTTTCCACGTCAAAGTTCTTCCAACTTTCTTCCTCTTTAATAAGAGGCTGCATTCCTGATGAAAGCGGGTTTTCCTCCAGTTTTACCGAGTCTGAATCGGTGCTGGTCGGACTGCAAAGCGATTCGGAAATTGTCTGTAATTTGCTGGGCGATTCTTCGCTCGGATGTGGGTTGTAAAGTTCTGGGCTGCTGAAGTCTTTGTTCATGACTTTAGAAGTACCCAGTTCGAATTTATTCATTGAAGGGTGACTGTATTCAACTATTGGTGGTTTGAGGTCATTGAACTCTAAGCAGGTCCCATTTTCGTCTTCAAGCTTCACCACTGAAAAAAAAAACAAATAAAAAATGACTCATTGGATATTTATGTGCTCCAAAAAACAGCGATGGCACCAATGATTTGATAAAAATTCCTGAAGATTGGTTGATGTTTCTGATGTTCTGCAAAACACCCTGATGCAGGGGTGGATCTAGGATTGTCTCGAGGGGGGGGGGCGGATTTTCAAAATGTTTTTGAAAATTCGCTCCCCCTCAGAGTTAGTATATATTGGCGCCAAAGGCGCCCTTAGAAAAATTTTAAGTTTGGTCGGCTTAAAATGGATTTCTTAAAAAGTACCAAAGGGGGGACCCTGTGGGTATGGAGGGGTCGACTCCCTGAGTGGGAGGCGTCCGCCCCCCCCCCGCCCTCTTCAAAATCCACCCCTGCCCTGATGTTTAAATATTTACAAAGAAATGTTTCAGACGCAGTAAGTTCTTTTTTTTTATCATAACAATTTTGAGCTTCAGTTTTTTAAGTTACTAACCTTGTTGAGAGGGCGCGCGGCTGTTCAGAAATGTGGGCGCAATATTTGGCAACTGTTGGTTAAACAATTTGAAACTGGGCAATCGCATTGGGTTGTTCATTGCCTGGAGGAACATTGAAGCATGCAGCAGGGTAGCCGGGTTCGCGTAGGTGAAGAAATTCGGGTTTCCGTTCGAGTGGCCTGCCGGGTTCATATTACTTGTTGCCGGGTGGCTCCCCATATTTGGATTTAAATTAGTTGGGTTGAAGTTGCTTAACCTGGGGTTCACTGGAGGAGGGGCGATGAACGGGTACTGAGGCGCGAATGGTTTCTGCATCGGGTTCTGAAGGTCTATCATTCCTTGAGATGTCATTGGCATATGCATGGGACCCATGGAGAGAGGGTCACTGACTTCGGGGGTCATTTGAGTCATGGGTGGGGGTGTGTTGTCTCTCCATGGCTGGAAAGTGATCTTTGATTTGTGACTGGACCCTGCTTTCGAGTCTCCCCGTAAGGCAGCCCGTTTTTCTATTGTGGATTTTCGAGGTCCTCTTTCATCTTGCACGGCTGAAAATTATAGATCTGGTCAAAGCTTGATCAAACGAAAAATTGCTTCCCATAAAACTTTTCCAAAAATTTTTAGCTCCTATTATAATGAGAAAGATCCAAGGAAAATTCAATAAAATGTTTGTCATGGGGAAGGGGAGAAAAAATGCTCTAATTTCTTCTTTAGAAACCAAGGGCGGATCTAATGTGTTTTCAAGGAAGGGTATGTTTTCAAAAACGTCATCATTTTTTCAAGTCATGTTAATTGTATTTCTGTGTTTTCGCAAATTACTAAAGAAGACCCTGTATTATCCGAAATTGTCCTCCAAAAGTTTCCTCTGAAAGGTAGCAGTCAAAATTGTTTTTGAGTGCAATTTTGGCCATAATGTATGTCGAAAAAAATTTTCAATGCGGATCTTTTTGGTGAGCAGAGCCTAAAAAAAGGTCAAAATGCCGTTTTCAGATAATTTTTATAGTTAAAGTTATAATTTAACGCTGACGACGCCTTTAGAAAAATTGGTTGCAGAAAATGTACCAATTTGGCTTGGCAGCGTATTGAATTCCTGAAGCAGTCAACCACCCTTAAAATCCACCCCTGAAATATAGTCTCCTTTAGGATACCTTTGGGGTTCATGCTGCTCTCGAAGCATTTCTTCAGTCTGCAGTAGGGACACCAGTTGCGCCTGGCCTTGTCGATGGAACAGTTGCCTTTTCCAATACAGGTGTAGACCATCTTGCGCCGAATACTGCGCTAAACACACTCAGCTAAATAACATAATCGCTGATTACAAAGTGTCTCAATTTTCAGTTGAGTTTTTGGCTAGCTACAAAAGCAGCTTCAATTCTTTGGCTCTTTTCCAGTTCCCCCCCCCCTTGTTAAATTACAAAAAGAGATGTTCAAAAATTGTTCACACGGCAATTTTCATGTTAGAAATGTTGTGAAAATTTGTTCAACTGTTCACGCTGACACGTTTTAATGCAGTTTATAACATTAAAAATTATTTTAAAAAAGTTTTCATGTAATGAATTTCAGAAAAAATGAAAGGGGGGGGGGAACTGGAAAAGAGCCAATTCTTTAGACCATATTTTGCACTGCAGTTTTAGGATATATTGAAGCCCGAAACTCCTTTTTACAGTTAAAATAAGCAAATCGTTGAATGGAATTCGATCTACCAGGGTGAAATTCTAGTGAAATTAGTTTCAATTAGAATTCAATGGGTTCAAAAATTGACCAGTTATCTTAAATTACAAACACACACACACACACACACACACACACACACACACACACACAAAACGTTTCTGGGAAATTTCTCAAGGCTCTTTTCTATACTCTCCTCCCCCACATTTGAATTTCAGTTTTTAAAAATTTATTTAACCTCGTCATAATGCAATGAAACTTTGCATGATGAACAAACTAACTATTGTGAACACATTTGTTATTCATACCTTTCTTCGTAACATCACGCATTCACATAACAACTCCTAGGACGATTCAAAGAATGGAAAATTTCGAATGTGGGGGGGGGGGGGCGTAGAGTGCAAAAGAGCCCTTTCGTGAATGCAATTGGTCGACTTCAATGACTTGGAAATTGATGTTTGATGTCCAGAGGATCGCTAGGGGGGCAGCATTGTAATTAGAAAGATCCAACTATTGGTTTTCTCCCAGTAAAGTATATACCCCAAAATAGTCAGAAAACCCGGAGCTAGAGTTAAGGAAATGCAATGGGAAGGTGCGGCCTTGGAGTTCAAATTAAATCAACTCTCGAAATAAGAAAACTGATTTACCTTGAAGAAACATGAGCATCCATCGCAGCAATAAACACCGTAATGCTTCCCAAAACTCTTGTCACCGCAAACTTGGCACGCAACAGGATTAGGCAAAGTTCTCCCTAAAAAAATTATACGGATTTGTTAAATTTCTATTTCACGAGAAGTATGTGATTGAATAGCAGTTTTAAATTTTTTGATAACAAGAATCGAAAGTTGTTATGCTTTAAAGCGGGGAATTTTTTCGTCAACATATGCAGCATATGTTAATTAGGGTACTTGAAAATCGAGCCACTTACCCATTTCAGCGTAATAAGCGATTCCACAATTGATTAAATTACAGGTTAGGTAAATTATTATGCGATGATAGCTTTAAATATGATGAAGATATTTTTCGGATCAGCTTCTTTTTTATTGACACGTTCTTATTTTCTCTGTTCCTATTGGTTCATTTGGTTGCTGGATCCGTGAATGCAATTGGTCGACTTCAATGACTTGGAAATTGATGTTTGATGTCCAGAGGACTGTTAGCTGACCCTTGACGCCAATTTTTAAAAGTTGACTCAAAAAGGTCGACAATTTTGCGACTTTTCGGACTTTTGTACGGAGTTTGCAGGAACGAAGTCAAATAGAGACTTTTTCACGTGCTTTTTTATGTGAAATGAAATTTAATCAACGACTTCCTGAATGTTTTCATAGAACCATATGTTTCAAACGGATAAGTCAGGTCTCTAATGGTAATGATTTTGCGACTTCTAGTTGACTTCTAGTTTTCATCAAATCAACAATCATAATTTTTACCTTAGAAGTTGAGATAAATAGAAATCAAGTTACAATTGTCATAAGCTATGAAAAGTTTTCATGCAAATTTATCCCAGTAATCTGACCGGATATCAAGACGCTCAATACCCGAATTTGTTTTCGTTAACATATTTAATCCTAACGATGTCTTTTTTTTTCAATTCGTTAGCGTATTATGGCAAAAATGAGACGATACAAAAAATACAATTTTCAACAAAGATTGTCTAAAGAAGTCATTGTTTAAACATAATCTCAAGCTATAGTCTGCCTTCTTGTTATACGAAGCTGTCAAAAAGTATATTTCACTGTGAAATACTGCCAGAGCAGGCTAAATCAAATCCAATTTTCTACGAACTGACTGTATGTTTGTGCAAAACTGTATGACTAAAGAAGATTTTAAGAAAATCAAAATTAATCAAACGTTTCCGAAAATGGCGCTGGAACATTTCAAAAGTAGATTTACAGGAAAAAAAAACAAAAGCTTCTTGACTTAACCTTCTATAACAAGCCTGCTCGTTTGCTCTACCCGATCGAATTTAGACTATATTTTTAAAATTTCAAACGGGTTTTTCTCGATACTGAGACACCTTTTTGGTATGTTGTTCGAACCAGGGCTGTAAGGTTTTTAAACTCACTCCACCCATTACGATAACTATTTGTTTAACCTGTTTTTGATTGCAAAGAACAGAAAAAAATAGGAAACTACCCAAATACAATTTTCCTCCCTTTTTCATTGGTCAGAACAACAAGTGTATCATTTTGATGATTATACTTAGCCGATCAGTTTTATTTTTTTCTCATAGACTTTGTAGAGAACCAATCAAGATTGCCTTCAAAACAATTTTTTTCGAAATGATATGTGACAAATTACGAGGTCAAACTGGATAGGCGCACAATTTTTGTCGACTGTAGGTCAGTGGAATCCAGAGACAAGCGCTTAAAATTGTTCCAAGATGTAGGTGGATTTCGCTTATAAAACATTCGTGGGTTCTGCTTCTGCGTACAAACATCTGTAACCTAAATTTCTTTGTTACCCCTGTTTCAATTCGGAATTTGCAACAAGCAAACAATGCTAGTTGTTCTGGATTTCGCAACTGCAGTGAATTTCGGAAAATGTAATTGGTTTCGCAATTTCGTTTTTAAACTCAACTAAACCAGTTATCGCTTCTGAACAATTAAAAGCTAGAGCTAGACTTGTTGTATTGTAAATGCTGAAAATAAAAACAAGGGTTTAATTATTGTCAATGGAATCCAATAAATCTTAAATTTTTGCTTAACTAAAATCGTGGATGTACCACTTAAGTAGTTGGGATGAACTTCCCAGCAAACTCTTTTTGAGAAAAAGTTTGGAAAACACCGAGTATGCAGAGTCCAAATAAGCTAATTTGAATCAGATTTTAAAATTGAACAAACAAAATCATTACTGGGAAGTAGTGGGATTTGGTTGTGACTTGGTAGTATGTATATCGTTTTGAAATTTTTTTGAAAAATTAATTTACATCTTCAACCTAATTTTTCTGTTAGTATATAATACCTTTACTAATTTTGTTTCAGTATCAGCATATCAGATTGCAGTTATATTTTATTGATATTGAACTGTTGTTAGTAATTGAGATTGAAATAATTTCAGTATATGGGACTAATTTGTTGTCGGTAAATAAGATCGAATCGTTGGCAGTTTTTACGATTCACCAAAGTTGTTAGCATCCGTGATCTTTAGAAAAAACTTACGTTAGATTTGTTTCTTTTCTCGATCTCTGACAATTTGTAAGTGAAACCGATAGCGCGCGCCGTTTATCAATTATATTGTCTTGGTACGTATTATATTATCTTTAAGCCAGTAGTCTCCGTTGTTTGTAGAAAATTGACTAAAAAACGTTTAAAAATTTAAAAACAGAACTTTTTAAAAAAAAATTGACAGAAACTAAAATTTACATTCACAAAGAGAAACTAAAAAACTCCAAAATTTAGTTCTACTTGCTGAAAATTTATTTGCTTAATCACGACTAAAAGAATTTTTATATGATATATCACTCAAACCAGTCCGAAGTTTTTTATGGTTTCTGATTGTGCGTAGAAAACAGAACGAAAAAAACTAAAACACACCCGAATACAAAGATCGCCCCCACTTTCAATGATCGGAACAGAAAATGTAATTTCAAACAGTAACTAAATTTGTCACTGGAATCAGTTATAATATTGTTACAAACAAAATGTGGGTTTCGCTGTTAACAAAATATGGGCACGTAAAATGACTATTCGCAAATATTTTTAGTTGTATGTAGATGCCAGAAAACTGTTCCAAATTCCGCAATTTTTTTGTTGATTTCGCAAATTCACTTGTTTCTGGAGCAATTTTGAGCGGTACAGTGTTTTACATAATCGTTTGGGAAATCAAAAACAGCAAAGAAGATCACGGACAAGTAGCAAAGTTGCAAAATCCGCGACAAATCTGATTATGGCCTGTTGCGGAATCTGCTTGCAACTCGCAAAATTCACAGTTTGGCCTCGTAATAAGATGTATTTTATTAGAAAAACGAAAAGTCGTCAAGTTATTCATTATCTACTTTATGTTTTATTGCCTGGGCAATTGTTTATCCGGCAATTGTTAGCAATGCAAGAGAAGTCAATACCCATTTTTATTTTTTAGTGATATTGTGGGATGCGGAAAATTCTTTTTGAAAAAAAAAGAATTGAAAGTTAACAATCAAAACATTCTCCTTGCTTGATAGTAGACAAAAATTTTGCAGAATTTTTTGAGCAAAATGGCATGCAGGTGTTTTGCATGTTTTACATTGCGCCATACAAAAAATTTTTGTTGATGTGTTTCAAAATACCAAAAACATTTTCTAGCTAATTAATAGCAGCATAATGGTCAACAGATTCTGGTATAAAATGCTGATCGAGTAAAAAGTATTTAAACCAAGGAAAAAAGCTTCATCTTTCTAAACAATTTTTTTTTCATTATGCGAAGAGTCGATGGAGATGGCCCTATTCATTTTAGTTTTCCAGTTTTCTTAAGCATCTGAGCACTTCGGGTGGTCATGACAATCTATCAGACTTCTAATGGCGTGTGTAGCAGTTTCATATCCTTTTTTGGTACCACAATTTACCTGAGAACTGTAGAAAAAAATTGTCTTGATCCGTCGCGTTTAGCCACGATGCGTCTGAGTGTGATGCCGGCTACATCCGGTCGAGAGCCTCCATCTATCATTTTGATAGCGAGAAAGTTTCATCAAATAAAGGTATTAACGGTTCGGGTAATTTACCATCTCTAAGAACGTTTAAGAGCGTATAGAGCGATTTCATGGAAGTGAGCCCGGCATTGCCGCTTGATTTTATAATGAAATCTTTGGTGATTTTAGAATAATTTAGTCCGGATTGGCTCCCGCACAGTTTCGAAGGGACCTTTTTGCTTTGTAATCTTTGTATAATTTTATGTACAAAAAGTTATCGATGCTTTCTGGTTGGGGTTAATTAGTTCAGTTTTTTCAGCTACAAAATATTTTGAACGTTAGGAATCAAAAACAACGCAAAAATCATCAAAAAAACCAGCCAAATAGTTGCGTTTTCTACATTGTAGAAAGAAATGTACCACAATTCGTTTTATCAGATAAATTTTTGTCCAAGAAAACAAATGCGTTCGACTGTAATCTCGCGAGTATACAAAAATTTAAATTGGCTGTCTTCACATTAGTTTCTAGCATTATTTCATTATCAAGATTGATGTTTTTTATCAGATTTATCATAAACAAGTAAAAAAAAATTGATACTAAAACAAAATTTTCAGTCTCTAAGGGTAATTTTTGCATCATTGACATTAAGCATTTTCAAAAAAATTTCACATCAGTTTGACGCCGCCGCAAAAAATAACAAAGTTTCGACCTGGCTCAAAGCTATTGATTTAACTCATAAAGAAGCGTAAAATTTTTATAGATTAAAAATATATTTCTTTCAAGCATTATTTGGAAGAGTAAAGAGTGATAAAAATCGCTAGCAAAGAAAAACATCACCCGAGCTCAAAAAATCGAGCTGTCCGCCACCAGATTCCCAGCGTTCTAATCGACAGACTTTTCTTTAGAACTTTTTAATTTGCGCTCGACACACAGACACAACATCGAACCTATCACATCTATTTCAACAAAGTATTGCAAGAATCAACTCGTTTGTCATATGAGAGGTTCAAAGTGTTGGACCAAAAAGAAGCCCCGAGGCATACCACTGTTTGCCGACAGACTGAAAAAAATTTGTCATAGAAGTTGTTGGCTTTTTTGTGTTCAACGTATGAAACAAATTTGGTTCACTTGATCTTTTTATGTGTCTTTTGAGCGCCTTTTAAGCACTCGTATAAAAATATCCGTCATGCAGGTCTCTGGAAAACACATTTTTGACCTGAGGTTTTTTAGATTGCGCCCCTGGATCTACTAGGCTTGGGTGAGATTGCTCCATCAAAACTGTTCAATGATCATATGCAATTGGTCCTCCAATGAAAACATCCAATTTCTCCTTATCTAAAAAAAACTAGAGCTTCAATTTAAAGATTTTCGAAAAACAACCAAACCACTTGTATTTTTGTGAGTAATTTTCAGAAACTATAAATTCTT